ATGTGAGATTCCAGCACTACAGGCAGAGGCTTGGCCTACTGTGTCACAGTGTTGGCCCTGTCTTTAATTTTTGAAACTGGTAGGTGTCTGTTGTGATTTGAGTGTAAACTTTGGAGTAGAAAGTAGAACCTTTTGACAGCAACAGTATGATGTCACAACATGAGCACAGGTCTTGTATAGTAAAATGTTTGTTGAATGAATAAACACCTACTGTGTGCCAACCACTGTTCTAGATACATAAGATGGGCAAACACTTTGTAGGAGTTTGATAGAGATGTGGTAGGTTGAGTTGGACGTTGAGTGTTCAGGACTAGGGAGTAAATTCATGTGTCAGTTTAGAGTGAGTGTGTATTCTTAAGTGGTGGTGGAGGGGGAAGGGAACAAAGAACCAGATAGGAGAGAGTTGGTAGGCGGATTATAAAACAGTTTGTCTTGGGCTGTCGAGGAACTACTGAAAAAAATTTAAGAAGCATTATGACCAGGTTTGCCTTTAGACAGACTTTGAGTTTTTTTTTTTTTTTTTTAGACTTTGAGTTTTAAGACAGAGTTTCTGAAATTATCTCTGGTGAGGGATTTTTTTTTTTTTTTAATTTGCAGTATGTGGCAGACTGACAGTTTTGTAAAATACAACAATGAATTACTAGAAAAATGAAATGTTAAAAAGAAAACAAGTCCACCTTTTAATTAAGCAGACATAAAATTATTCTGTTGGGTTCTTCTGTAAAAGTTTTCAAGTGTGGGGGTTGGCATTGCGGCATAGTGAGTTAAGCCTTCGCCTACAGTGCTAGCACACCATACAGGTGCTGGTTCGAGTCCCAGCTGTTCCACTTCCAATCCAGCGCCCTGCTAATGTGCCTGGGAAAGTAGTGGATAGTGGCTCGAGTACATGTGCTCCTGCAATCATGTAGGACACTGGATGGAGTTCCTGGCTCCAGGCTTCTGCCTAGCCTAGCCTCAGCATGTTGCAGCCATTTGGGGAGGAGTGAACCAGTAGATGGAAGATCTCTCTTCTTTCTCTCTCTTTCACTCACTTCCTCTCTCTCTGTGTGTGTAGCTCTGCCTTGCAAGGAGAGAGAGAGAAGGAGGGGTCTTCCATCTGCTAATTCACTCCTGAAATGGCCCCAATAGCCAGAGCTGGACTGATCCTGAGCCAGGAGCTTGTTCCGGGTCTCCCACATGGGCGCAGGAACTCAAGTACCTGGGCCATCCTCTACTGCATCCCGAGTGCATTAGCAATGAGCTAGACTGGAAGTGGAGCATCTGGGACTCAAACCAGTGCCCATATGAGATACAACATAGGCAGCTGCTTAACCTGCCAAGCCAAAATGCCAGCCTCTAAATAATTTTTTTAAAAAACTTTTAATTGTGTACTCTCAAACTTGTTCTCTCCTAGTCATGAACTAATTCACTTTGAGTACCTGTGCTCTGTAGACTGACTTATTTTTAACAATGGATGCTGATAGTATGTAACTCTAGAACCTCCCATGTGTATTTACTTTTATGTCATACCTATATATTGTGCAGTTGTATCATGTCCAATATAAACCATAAAATATTGGCCATGTTGGTGGTTCAGGTCCTGGTTGCTCCACTTCTGATCCAGCTTTCTGCTATGGCCTGGGAAAGCAGTGGAAGATGGCCCAAGTCCTTGGGCCGCTGTACGTGCATGGGTGACCCAGACAAACTCCTGGCTTCTGGCTTCAGATTGTCCCAGCTCTGGCCGTTGCAACCAGTTGGGGCGTGAACCTATGGATGGAAAACTTTCTCTCTCTCTCTCTGTCTGCCTTTGCCTCTGTAACTGCTTTTCAAATAAATAAATCTTAAAAAATTGGGGCCACGGGCCAACGCCGCGGCTCACTAGGCTAATCTTCTGCCTTGCAGCGCTAGCACACCAGGTTCTAGTCCCGGTCGGGCACCGGATTCTGTCCCGGTTGCCCCTCTTCCAGGCCAGCTCTCTGCTGTGGCCAGGGAGTGCAGTGGAGGATGGCCCAAGTGCTTGGGCCCTGCACCCCATGGGAGACCAGGAGAAGTACCTGGCTCCTGCCATTGGATCAGCATGGTGCGCCGGCCGCAGCACGCCAGCCGCGGCAGCCATTGAAGGGTGAACCAACGGCAAAAGAAGACCTGTCTCTCTCTCTCACTGTCCACTCTGCCTGTCAAAAATAAAAAAAATAAATAAATAAAAATTGGGGCCACAGTGCCAGCCCCAATTTAAATTTTATTTTTAATATTATGAAATACCCCAACCCCCTTAGCTGGGTGGTAAAAATACCATCTGAATTGTTAAAGTGATCATATGGATAGGATTAAGTGTCTGGCAATAATAATAGATAGAATTAAAAAAGAGTGAATGCTCCAACATGGGAAACAGTCTACACAGCAGACTTACAGAATGACAATCACTTTAAGTAGTACTCCAACCTCAGAATCAGCCCTTAAGGCATTCTGGTCTGACTGAAAAGCCCACGAGAGCATTTCAAGAAAATGAAAAGGCAAGGCACTATGGCAAAAAATGTCCTACATGAAGGACCTCCGTGGTTGAGGCCCCAGTGGAAAGAAGGAAGTACTTTTCTCTGAAGGGAGGAGACAACATCTGCTTTGTTTATGGCCTTGTCTAAATACTGATGGAGCTTGTGGATTCAAAAGGCTTCCATAGCCTAAGCAGCTCATGTCAAGAGCCTCAGGTGATCACTGATGTCATACATAAGAGTGCTGATTGTTAAATTAATAACAGTGTCACTGTGCACTAACTTCTCATGCAGGACCTCTGTCTTCAAAGAGTTGTATTATAATTATGTCTTAAGTGCTGGCAAAAGATGTATCATTCTTGGATGCTTCTTTAAACTTAGTTAAGTTTATAAAAAAAATAAAATTAACTTCAAGATGCAATGACTTGGAACGGCCCTTGTCCCCACTATTGAAGAATAATTTTGTTTTGCTTTGTTCATTCATATTGTTGAACTCTTTACTTAGCATAGAGTTGGTCTTTTGTGTATAAAGTTAATTGAAAATGGATCTTAGTGGAGGATGGGACTGGGAATGGGAGAAGGAGAAGGAGGAGGGGTGGGAGGGCGGGTGGGAGGGCGGGTACGGTAAGAAAATCACTATATTCCTAAAGTTGTACTTAAGAAATGCATAAAGTTTGTATTCTGTAAATAAAAGGTTTCTTTGGGAAAAAAATTATGAAATCACTGTTGGCACTAAAATATTGAGAGAACATGTAGTTGAATGTATTTTATTATGACCTTTGAAAGTTTGGTACATTCATACAACAGATAATTATCTGGGGTTTCTTCCATGTATGAGAAATACAAAACAGCATAAAATACAGAAAAACCTCTGTTTCCACAGACTTTTCATTCTAATGGTGGTTAAAGCTTTGTGGTATGACCCAAAGGCCTGGTTTTAGATTCCCTTTATATTTCTTTTAATGGCTGTCATAATTGCAATAGGTGCCACATAAAGATATGTAAATCAAAATGGAAGAATTATTTTGTTGGCTGAGTTTCCTTGATAATAATCCTTGGTTTTCAATTTCATTGAACAATTAATGACAGATTTTTAATGAAATTTAGCTTTCATTTTCCCTGATGACACTTCTTAAAAATTCATCAAAATGGGGCTTTTTCTTTTTCTTTTTTTTTTTTTTTTGTTATGTTTTAAACATTCATTTATTTGAAGGGCATCGCTGGGGAGAGAGAGAGAAAGAAATGCATCTTTCATCTGCTGGTTCACACCTCAAATGGCCGCAATGGCTGGGGTTGGGCCAGGCTGAAGCCAGGAGCCTGGAACTTCATCTGGGTCTCCCACATGGGTGGCAGGGACCCGACCACTTGAACCATCTTCCCAGGTGGATTAGCAGGGAACTAGATCAGACATGGAGCAGCCAGGACTCAAACTGGCATTCCTATGGGATACCAGCATTGCAGGTGGTGACTTAATCCACTGTGGCACAACACTAGCCCATGTTTCATATTTTTAATAATTTTGTTCAATACCCGACAAGACTTTAGATTTTAAGCAGGTTAGAAATCAACTTTCAAGTTGGTGTTCAGGTAAGATTACCTTTAAAAAGGGATACATGTTATAGATTTACATTTACAGCAGGAAAAGCTTGCCAACTCCTGGACTATACATACATTGATAGCACACTGTCTTAATTATTGTAGCTTTTTAATGAATCCTGATAGCAGAGCAGGGGCAGCAAACATTTTCTTTAAAGGCCAAGCAGTACATGATTTAGACTTTGCAGACCATATAGTCTGTCATAATAACTGTCAGATTCAGCTGCTCTACCTAGAAAGCAGCCATGGACAATGGAGAGGATTATTTTGTCAACCCCTGCATACCTTGATGCTGTTCTTCAAGATTGTCTTGGAAGTTCTTGGTTTTTGTGTTTAAAATTAAGATTACCTTATCAATTTTCACAAAAAAAAAAGCTCTGCTAAGATTCTTAGTGGAATTGCATTAAATCTGTAGATTAATTTGGTAATGATTGACAGTTTATGATAATGAGTGTCCAATGTATAAATATGATCTAAAGCATTATTTGGGTCGTCTTTAACATTTAACATTGATGTTTTAAAGTGTTCTGTTCTTTGTGGTAGCCATTCTCTGAAATGCTTGTCAAACATCTTCACCACTTAGTCTTCCTACCCTTGTATTGTTCCTTTTACAGTGAATAAAGCTGATTTATGGAACCGTAAGGATATTGAGAAAGTGACATTGTGTGACTTCCAAGCCTAGTTTATAAAAGACGTTGCAGCTTCTGCTTTGCTGAGATCACTCAGTCTGGAGGAAGCCAGCTGTCAACTTATGAGGACATTCTAGCAGCCCAGTGGAGAGGCCCAGCCGATAAGGAACTGAGATGTCCTGCCAACAGCAGCATGAGTGAGACATCTTGGAAGTAGGCACTCCTGGGATAATATGACTTTTTGAATAACCCACATAATGTGATGGTATCTTGAACTGAGTCAGGGGGCTTGAGATAAGCAGCTGGATTTGAAATACTAAGGAGGTAAGCTATATAGGATTTTGGGTTACTTGTACATGAAAAGTTAGAGAGGGATCATCACAGGTAGCTCTGAATTTTCTGGGGTGAGCGTCTGAGCCTGAGTGAATGGTGGCACTGTTCACTGAAATGGGGAATATAGGATAAAGAGCAGGTGGTTTTAACCATTTTGAGTTTGAGTTGTCTGAATATCCAAGCAGATATGAGCAGTAGCAGTTGGAACAGATGGGATCTATTCCCATCTCCAGTCAGCTGACTGGTAATACTGAATTTTTGGGCAAGATGCATAACTCCTTGTGCAGTCTTCTGAGTCTTGTTTTTTCTCATCTTCTGAGGTGCCTTACATGTCATTTTAATAAATATGATAAAGTATTAGAACACAGTAGGTATTTAACCACAAATCTTAGCTTCCTTTCCTTTTCAAAGAAATATGACTACTGAGTATAAGGATTAGCTTATGAGCAGATTGTTTTCAGTAGGAAATCTACACAGCTTCTGCCCTCATAAGGACTTACCAAGTTAATTCTGGGACTATTCTTGCAGTGACCTATGATTCCACTGGTTTTCTCTGACCAAAGGGTTCCTTGGGTATCTGTAGCTGTTCTAGGTATATTGTGTGTCCTGTCACTAATGCGTGCGATGTTATGGTATGTTGGGAATAATGTAGGTTTGCAGTTTCATAGCTCTGTATTTGAATTCCAGCTCATTTATTATCTGTGTACCCTAAGATGTGTATACAGTAGGTTGAATGTCTGTGGCCCACTAAATTTCATGTCAGAATTATGTCCCCCAAGGTGGTGGTCGTATTAGATGGAACCATTGTCAGGGATTAGGTCATGAGGGCAGAGCCCTCGTGAATGGAATTAGTACTCTTGGAAAACAGACCCGAGGGAGATCTCTGCTGTTTCCACCATGTGAGGTTGGGGTGAAGAAGCAAACCCTAACCAGACACTAAATCTGCTGCCTTGATCTTAGACTTCCCAACCTCCAGAGCTGTGAGAAATAAATGTGTGTTGTTTATAAATTACCCAGTCTGTGTTGTTTTGTTATAGCGGCCGAAATGGACTAAGTCAATCAGTTACATAAATTGGGGTCTCTTACAAAATGCATGGTCTCTTACAAAAATACAGAGAAAGAATGAAAATTCCTGTCTGCTTTCTGATGTTATTGTTGAAGTCTAAAAGATAATTTTTTTAAGTATCTAACCGAAATCCCTGAATATTTTAAATCCTTAAATAGGTATTTGTTTCACTTCTGTTTCACCCACTTACCAGCTAGTGTGGCACTTCTATACAGCAGACATTTTTTCCAGGAAGTCAGACTTACACTTCCCTATCAACACAGCTTTATAAATAGAGGCTGTCATTATCAAAACTCTGGAGTCCTATGCAGAATTTGGAATTTTGTATATATTAAAGGGATCTGATCCTGGGCTCAGTCCTTTTATTTTTACAGATTTGAAAACCATGGTCTTTACAGGTTAATACATGGCGGAAAACTAAAATCTTTAGAGGATAGTAAGTAGTAGAACCTAAATCTATTGACTCATATTCAAGTCTCCTTTCTGATAAAGTATGTAACCAGGGGCTTTGCTTATGCTTAAAAATACTGTGAAAGTGAGAAATGAGTTGATACATACACTTTTTTTTATAAGATGATTTTTTTTTATCTTTTATTTAATGAATATAAATTTCCAAAGTACGACTCATGGGTTACAATGGCTTCCCCCCCATACCGTCCCTCCCACCCACAACCCTCCCCTTTCCCACTCCCTCTCCCCTTCCATTCACATCAAGATTCATTTTCGATTATCTTAATATACAGAAGATCAGCTTAGTATACCTTAAGTAAGGATTTCAACAGTTTGCTCCCACACAGAAACATAAAGTGAAAAATAATAGATGATTTTTTTTAAATGATGATGAAATCAGATCAGACCTATTGTCATGTTTAATCCCAGTGAGAGTCAAGTTGGGAATTGATAATTTCTTTTTTCTTTTTTTTTTTTTTTTACAGAAGATCAGTTTAGTGTACATTAAGTAAAGATTTCAATCGTTTGCACCCCCATAGAAACACAAAGTGAAATATACTGTTTGAGTACTCATTATAGCATTAAGCCTCAGTGTACAGCACATTAAGGACAGAGATCCTACATGAGGAGTAAGTGCACAGTGACTCCTGTTGTTGACTTTACAAATTGACACTCCTGTTTATGGCATCAGTAATCTCCCTATGCACCAGTCATGAGTTTCCAAGTCTATGGAAGCCCCTTGAGTTCTCTGACTCTTATCTTGTTTAGACACGGTCATAGTCAAAGTGGAGGTTCTCTCCTCCCTTCAGAGAAAGGCACCTCCCTCTTTGAAGACCTGTTCTTTCCACTGGGATCTCACTCACAGAGATCTTTTTGCCAGAGTGTCTTGGCTTTCCATGCCTGAAATACTCTCATGGGCTTTTCAGCCAGATCCGAGTGCCTTTAAGGCTGATTCTGAGGCCAGAGTGATACATACACTTTGTTTTGCTAATAACTTTCCCATCAACCAAGAAAGAAACTTTTGTCTTTTTTCACAGTCAGCTCTTCATTCAACAAATATTTTTTTAAAGGCCTTCTATGTGTCAGGCTTTATACAGATTAATGGAGATAGAGCAGTAAACAAACCAGACAAAATCCTTGCCCTCATGGATCTTATGTTCTTTAGAGGGGAGACCTAAAAGACATGATGGAGTGAGTTATCTATGTATATGCTAGTAGAAGGAATAATAAAATTTAGGACCTTATGGACCATTATGAGGCTTTTTTTTTTTTTAAAGATTTATGTATTTATTTGAAAGGCAGAGTCACAGAGAGGCAGAGGCAGAGAGAGAGAGACAGACAGATAGAGGTCTTCCATCCACTGGTTCACTCCCCAAATGGCTACAATGGCCAGAGCTGTGTCACTCAGGAGCCAGGAGCTTCTTCCAGGTCTGCCATGTGGGTGCAAGGGCCCAAGGACTTTAGCTGTCTTCTACTGCTTCCCAGGCTGTAGCAGAGAGCTGAATTGAGAGTGGAGCAGCCAGGACTTGAACTAGCAGCCATATGGGATGCAGGCAGTGGCTTTACCTGCTATGCCACAGCACTGGCCCCGAGACTTTTATTCTAAATAATATGGAAAGTTTCTCCGGGGTAGATGTATTTTGAGGATAGAACCAACAAATTTGCCAGCAGATCAGATGTAGGTTTTGACTATGGGCTTTGGCTTAAGCAACATCTTAAAGGATGGGTTTGCCATTTACTGATAGAGGAGAAGCAAAGAGAAGCAGGTTGGGTAGATGAAATTAAAAGTTGAGTTTTAGACAGTTTGAAGTTTAGACAGTTTACTTAAAGATTCCTATTAGAGCCGGCGCCGTGGCTCAATAAGCTAATCCTCCGCCTTGCGGCACCAGCACACCGGGTTCTAGTCCCAGTCAGGGCGCCGGATTCTGTCCCGGTTGCCCCTCTTCCAGGCCAGCTCTCTGCTATGGCCTGGGAGTGCAGTGAGGATGGGCCAAGTCCTTGGGCCCTGCACCCGCATGGGAGACCAGGAGAAGCACCTGGCTCCTGGCTTCGGATCGACGCAGCACGCCGCCGGAGTGGGCACTGGGGGGTGAACCAACAGCAGAGGAAGACCTTTCTCTCTCTCTTTCACTGTCCACTCTGCCTGTCCAAAAAAAAAAGATTCCTATTAGACACTAGTTCTAGATGTTAAGTAAGCAGTTGAATAAGAGTCTGGTGTTCATAGAGAAATGAAATCTGGAGGTATAAATTTGAGTGTCATTCCCATATGGATGATATGTAAGTGCTGTGATTTGAATGTTTGTGTCTCCTCCAAAATTGGTGTTGAAAATTGGTCCCCTGTGCAACACTAACAAGAGATGGGGGTGCTTATGAGGTCATTACATGATGAGGTCAGAACAACTATTAAAGGGCTGGAGGGAACTAGCTAGACTCCTTTGCTCTTCTGTCATGTGAGGCCATGACATTCACCCCCAAACCTGTGGCACCTTGATCTTGGGCTTCTAATTCCCAGAACTGTGAGAAATTTTGTTTTATGTAGTATGCCTAGTCAGGTATTTTGTTATACCAACACAAATGGCCTTAGACACTGAGGTCATGAAGGGACTGAGTGTGGAAAGAAAAGAGGTGTAAGCTAACCTGTGAGATCTACCAACATTCAGAGTGAGGTATATAGAAAAGGAGCACCCATAGAAATTTGTGAAGAACCAGATGATTGTGGTATCCTGGAAATGAAAGTGTTTTAGGCCGGCGCTGCGGCTCACTAGGCTAATCCTCCGCCTTGCGGCGCCGGCACACCAGGTTCTAGTCCCGCTTGGGCCACCGGATTCTGTCCCGGTTGCCCCTCTTCCAGGCCAGCTCTCTGCTGTGGCCAAGGAGTGCAGTGGAGGATGGCCCAAGTCCTTGGGCCCTGCACCTCATGGAAGACCATGATAAGTACCTGGCTCTTGCCATCGGATCAGCGTGGTGTGCTGGCCGCAGCGCGCCAGCCGTGGCGGCCATTGGAGGGTGAACCAACGGCAAAGGAAGACCTTTCTCTCTGTCTTTCTCTCTTTCACTGTCCACTCTGCCTGTCAAAAAAATAAAAATAAAAAATAAAAAGAAAGTGTTTTAAAAGAAAGAGGGAGTGATCATCTGGGTCAGCTGCTACTGATAAGTGATGTGCCACGAAGGTTGAAAATTGGCCATTGACTTTAGCAATGGAGAGGTCATTGGTGACCTTAGGCCTAGGATCGGGAGGACATAAGAGGAGCAAAATGGGAGAGCTTGAGAAGTGGAAGTAAAGTTGAGAGTTTTGCGTGTGTGTGTGTGTGTGTGTGTGTTTTAAGATTGATTTATTTAATTGAAGGCAGAGGCAGAAAAAGAGAAGTCTTCAATCTGCTGCTTCACATCCTACATGGCCATAACCACCAGAGCTGGGCTGATCCGAAACCAAGAGCCAGGAGGTTTTTCCGGGTCTCCCATGCTGGTGCAGGGG